TAATTTCATTTGATAAACACGTTTAGATTGAATGGTAATTTATAATCAGTCACAAGAACGTCGAATCTGAATCACTTGAAAAAAACACGGGGGTGCTTAACTTTTTTCCAGGTGTATATATCTAATACAACGACTGATGTGTAAAGTTTTACTATCATTTATATATCTAAAACCACGACTGATGTGTAAAGTTTTACTATCATTTATATACCTACAAGCACGACTGATGTGTAAAGTTTTACTATTATTTATATATATCTAAAACCACGACTGATGTGTAAAGTTTTACTATTACTTATATATATCTAATACAACGACTGATGTGTAAAGTTTTACTATCATTTATATATCTAAAACCACGACTGATGTGTAAAGTTTTACTATCATTTATATACCTACAAGCACAACTGATGTGTAGATTTACAATCATTTATATAACTACAAGCACAACTGATGTGTAAAGTTTTACAATCATTTATATAACTACAAGCACAACTGATGTGTAAAGTTTTACAATCATTTATATAACTACAAGCACAACTGATGTGTAAAGTTTTACAATCATTTATATAACTACAAGCACAACTGATGTGTAAAGTTTTACAATCATTTATATAACTACAAGCACAACTGATGTGTAAAATTTTACAATCATTTATATAACTACAAGCACAACTGATGTGTAAAGTTTCACAATCATTATATAACTACAAGCACGACTGATATGTAAAGTTTTACTATTATTTATATAACTACAAGCACAACTGATGTGTGAAGTTTTGCAATCATTTATATAACTACAAGCACAACTGATGTGTGAAGTTTTACTATCATTTATATAACTACAAGCACGACTGATGTGTGAAGTTTTACTATCATTTGTATAACTACAAGCACGACTGATGTGTAAATATTTACTCTCATTTATATAACTACAAGCACGACTGATGTGTAAATTTTTACTATTATTTATATAACTACAACCACGACTGATGTGTAAATATTTACTCTCATTTATATAACTACAAGCATGACTGATGTGTAAATTTTTACTATCATTTACATACCTACAAGCACGACTGATGTGTAAAGTTTTACTATTATTTATATATCTACAACCACGACTGATGTGTAAAGTTTTACTATCATTTATATACCTACAACCACGACTGATGTGTAAAGTTTTACTATCATTTATATACCTACAAGCACGACTGATGTGTAAAGTTTTACTACCATTTATATACCTACAAGCACGACTGATGTGTAAAGCCACAACATATCAATAGAATCTTGTATGAAACTGAACTGTACAAACCTAGTGTTTAAAGTATTTAGTTGAATCCCTGAGAATTTCAAGCTGAAATATACTAATATAGGCATGACTTACATACCTATACATACATACACTGGTGGGAACAATTAGAAACTGGGAAGATATGGAGCAAGTATTTCTGAATTAAATACAAAATAAGGTGCACAAACAGGATTAAAATATTCAATATTTGTGACACTTATAAAACACTATTGACAGTAACTATGCAATTAGTTGTGTTTCCTAACTGATTAATAGACAACCTCATACAAAAAACAAGAGTTGTTGCCAGTAAGTTGCCTTCTCTCTATTAGCAATTTGAAAAGATATATATATATATATATATATATGAAATAAAAATAATGTTCATGAAGGGTGCCTACAGCCTGTTTCTTTCTTTCTAGTCAGCATTTCAAAAAAATTAGAGAAAGTGATAGGTAGCTTAGTTGCTTTGCTATAAAAAACAACAACAAGGCAAACAAGTTTGCTAGAAATAGGAATTGAACCTGAAACTCTCTAATTATGAGCCCCCTTCAGTTATTTTCCTCCCTATTATTCTCATACTGTTCTGAAAGACAATGAAAGATGCACAGTTTAAATTTTTATTGGTGTTCTTAGAGCCAACACATTTATCACCTATGATCATGCAAATGCTGTCAAGTTTGTTTTAAAAGGAAGTGAAGTGAAGGATACACTAACTGGGAGTTAATAGAATATGCAAGTAGACTGCATGAGTAATATCAAATACAGCAGGGAGGCAATAAGATCACAAACAGTCTTTCAGTGTGGATGGAGAGGTAGTCCTGTTCTTCTGAGGCCACTCTGGACATGTGCTAAATATCACATTTTCCAATGATTTTTTGTGTCCTAATATTTTATGCCACTATTTTATACTCCTGCTAATGCATAATTAAAAAGGAATTTTTTCATGTTGTACCACACCTAAATGAATGTTGCATATTAAACAGCAGGCTGCCAATGCTCCTGCTGATATACAAAAAGGAATTTTTCACGTTGTACAATACCTAAAGGAATGTTGCATATTAACACTTTCAACCTGGGCTTGGTCCCTGGGACCGACATTGTAACCATTTTGTGCTTGTTATAGTTTTCATGCTATAACTATTAAATTAGTAAGTGTATGTTAACAAAATTTGGCAGTTCATCAATAAACATTAAATGCTTTCATATGCAAAATATCTAATTTTTTTAAGTCTTAAGGTTTGTAAAGCAATGTTTCTCTCATGCCTTTTTTTTATTTTCCCATCTATAATACAAAGTAATTTTCATTTTAAGATTAAAAATACTTTTATGCATCAGAAAATTTTGACATTTCACATGCAAAATCTTTATAACGTCCAGATAGTTATCAAATATTTTTTAAGAAAAAACTATTTATATTTTATGTGTTATTTTCAGTAATTAATCTCTTTACGGGTTCGGTAGATTTGAGTGATCTTATAACTGCCATAAAAAATTAGGAAATAAATATAAATTATGCCTCTTCCATTCTAGAATGAATACAAATTATAACACAAAAACATAAATGTTTAGACAAAATAGCTTAAATCACATAACATTATATGTTTATATGTATTTATTATTATTATTATATTGACCTTTCAGCTGTGCCTGGCTAACAATACAGAAGTTACAATGATGTGGCTCATGTACATGCATGTTACTGTATCAAAGTAACTTGTCTTGGCTGTGTGTTAGTAGACTAGTATTTTGTAAAATACAGTCACATTTCAAGTATTGTACATTATATATGTATATAGATTATTGCTATTTTTGTACTCGGTTGCTGCTTGTCGTAGGTTACTAAGCCTTTAAAAATTTTGCACGTGGAGGATATGAAACAAAATATTTTTTTAGGTTTTGAATAACTAAAAAATCATAAATTATTACATCAATACCATCGAATTCTACTGTAATTTATCAAACTTAGTAAATAAGCTGTACTTGGGTTTAAAAAAAATATGAAATTTCGAGCATACTAAAGACACAAACTGCGTCATTGAAATCTTGATTCAAAAGAAAGAAATGGTGCTAAGAGTGTTAGAAAGGCTGAGAAAACCACTAGGGAGACATCCTGAGCTTCCGATTGGTTATTCATGTCATATATAGAAGTAAGTGTATATAAGGGAGCATTTCAAAAAATGGAAAGAGGTGAGCAGGATGCCACTGTGTTTGATTTATTATGTGAGCAATATCTTAGCAAACTGAAAACATAAGACCTTCTTATTTTATATTCTAGCTTGTCAATATCAGTAATTTGAGTTTCTAATTCATTCAAAACTATAGACTTAGCATTTTGACTTAACAAACATCTAATTTGAACCAGTGCTGCGTTCAACATACCCCGCTCACAAAAATCGATGTTTATCTTTGTTTTTTAATATTTACTTTTAAATGAACAAATTGGGTAATGTATAATACTAAAATTTGAATTATAATCTACAGTTTGATACCAAACTTATTGACATAAATTCATGAAATAGTAGTTCAAAAAAATTGAATGCAAGTCAACAAACACGATGATTTGACCTATGACCCACCTCAAAAGGTTTAAACAGCAAGCTGTCAATGCTCCTGCAGATGTACAATTAAAAACAAATTATTTGATGTAGTACCATACCTAAAGGAACGTTGCATATTAAACAGCAGGCTGCCAATGATCCTGCTGATGCTCCAGCAATCTTGTCAACCAAAACCTGTGGGGCATATTCTCTAAAGCAGCTAGCAACACCAACATGGTATAAACCTAAGAACCCACATCCAGCAAAAGACAGGTTCATAACTGGAAATGTCTTTTAACAAAGTGAATTAAACCTAGAAAGAAGAAAAGTTATAATAAAGAAAAAGCTATTGATGACTTTCATCTCAAAAACTGATAAAATGTGGAATAATAGTACACAAAGTAACATTAAAGTTAAAATGTTAATTGAACCAAACCTTTATATATAAATATCTCTATAAATCCATACAATAACAGACTAATCATTGGAACTGTCAGATAATGATTCATAATTCTAAATAAAAGATAACAAAGTCACAGAACACAACCCTTGGGTAATTATGCAAGTCAAAAGTTCATTTGCTATCTATCATTCCACAACTGGTATCAATGATTCACTGTTATAAACACAAGTTAAAACAATACACTGGTATCAAAAATAAGAATAAAAATAACCATGAAATTAAATGTGATATATCCTAAAGACAAAAATTGTTTCACTGAGAAAAACTACACACATGTTCAGTTGTACAGCAAAAAATGTACTTATTGTATTTAAAAGCTTCATAATTCCAGACTTTTAGTTTTATATTTATTTACAAGCTTCATAATTCCAGACTTTTAGTTTTATATTTATTTACAAGTTTCATAATTCCAGACTTTTAGTTTTATATTTAATATTATTTTATAATAAAAATGTAAAAGCATTTAAAGTGTTGAAGGACATCCCATCCATCAAGGTTATCCATTCACCAAAACCAACCAACCAAGGTTATGTATGTGTATGTATATATAAAGCATTAGGAATTCCAAGTTTAGCTGTTTTCACTACTAAACACACAACTCCCACCTAACCAAGTTAGTTAAGTTACGTCAGGCAAAAAATGATAAAATATTAATGTTTGCCAATGTAAATGGAATCAAACATGGATTTACATGTTGGTGATGTACAACGTCTGAATACAAAGTTAGTATCCACCAAACTTTCACTATATTACAATGTGCAGTCGTAGTTATGATTGAGACTGACTCGTTACTTGCCTATTTAAGCTTTGGTGATATATTAATAAGATTGCTAACATTAATAATAATATACAGGTAGTTTAAATATACCCATCTGCAAGTTAGTAAGGTCGTACACTTGTATATACACTAATACAGTATAATAGTATTAACACACAACGTCGAATTAAGTAAAAGAATACGTAAATTATAATTCCAATTTTAGTTGTAAGCAGTTGATACGACTACTCTTTGTAACGTTAGGTTAACATTGTACGTTCTACACAAGTTGAATTTGACAGATGCATCCTAACGAATACATGATAATAATTAATATATAATTTGTTTGTCAAACGTTATGATAAACTAACACATTACTAACAATTTATCAAATGTAGTACTACTATTCACAATCACAGTCTAGTATAACTAGTTTTATAAACACAAATCCTTCGACGTTTTTAAGTTATTTCATGAACAATACATTTTTAGCTTGAAGAAAGTTAAATTTACTTCAGTCTATAAGTATAAGTTATAAAGTAAAGATGCAACGAAGCCACTATATAACTATATTACTACGCAATACAGTGCGCTATCAATGTTGCAAACTGGAGTTACTTACCAATATACGTATCACTATAACAACTTTTCATCATTGGAAATTTACAAATTACATATTTTTTATTTGAGTACCTGTACTGAACAACATATATATAAACATAACAAGCGTTGAACTCTACTCTTAACTTACCTCTCACTATAAGTTACACTAGACTCATATCCACTGGTAAACATAGGTTTAAAGTATAAGCATTTATGTTAGTGAAACGTCACTGTGTTTCCTCATTGGCGTTAAGAGATGGTACCATTCATTTTTGGCCAATAGTATCTAAACTGCAGATACTGGGGTAGACTTGTAACAAAACTGATACACACACACACATATATACATGACTATGTGCGTAAAACTTTTAAATTACTGTATATATTTGCTAAAGATTTTTTTTTTCACTAGTCTGATGAGCGATTTCTGTCAAAGTAATATAAGGTATAAAAGAAATAACGTATAAGGATTAATTAAATGAAAGTGTGCAAACTCGACCTGAAGACATATAAAAAATAGATACTTAACATTGTTAACTATATTCTGAGTGATTTAATTTAAATGTTACTTAGAGGGAGTGTGAGGTTGTTCTGTCATTGGGCTGATTCTTATAAAATATTTCCGAAAAATAATTCGAAGTCCAGTCCAGATAATGATCACAAGTTAATATATTTTTTCTTTAACGTTTCTAACAAACTTATACACTATTGTGACTTGTACTATTGTAAACCTAAATTTAGAAATGACATTCAAACGGAAATATTTTATTAACGGTACTATGACTGACCTAAAAATTGTTCATATTGTTACGTTTCCGTTTTTTA